ATACCAAGCAGCAAGAACCACATTTTTTTCCCCTCATCTCCTGCAGATTCTCTCTCTAAATTTGGCAGTATCATCTGGTGCATTCCATCTGGGTTCAGGGGTTATTTAAAACTCTCTTCAGGTTCCTGTTAACCAGCAGTGTCTCCCCACTTCATCCTCTGTGCATAAGGACTCAAGAGATGAGGAATTTCACTGCCTCTTGTGTTTTGGAAGAAAGCCCAGAGCGCTACCCCAGTTTCTCACAGACCTTGTTTAGTTTATTTGAAGTGAAGAAAGTGCAGCTAATCGGTATTTTAAAAACTTTTTGAGCTAGAAGTTAGAGGTGTGAGAAAGTATGTGCAGTGCTGCTGGTCCTGCTGCAGTGCTGCCTCCAGGCCAGGCCCTTGAGCCCCTGGGGGAAGTGCTGGAATGTTCTGTCCTTTACAAAAACCTCTCTGGAAAGCCAAAGGACAAAGCAAGTGATAAGTGCAGGAGTGATGTGGAGGGGAGCAGGAGTAGCAGTGAGCCCCTGGCTGCCCTGGTTGCCATTCCTGCTGTGGTGCCATCTTGCTGTCCCCCCCAGGGCCTGCTGGAGCTGTGTGTTTGCCATGGCACTTTTCGTGGAACACATCCTGTTGGGCATCCACTCCATCATGCCAGAATTTGAGGATTTAGTGAGAAAATACACTTTGCTTCTTGCTGAGGTGAGCAAAGCTGCCATTTCACCTTTTCCTTCTTGAGCTGACCATGGGAATTCTCATCTCAGGTGTTGCAGCTGAGTCACTGGGCCTTGTTCTTTCCCTCTGCAGTGTTTCCAGTACAATTCAGACATGAAGTCTTATCCAACCTTTTCTTTGGTGCTGACAGTGCTGCGCAAATGCAAGGATGAGGTCAGCAGCAGGCTGTACAGGTACTGACACTGGAGCAGGCTGCAGGGGCCAGCAGGGACATTGCCTGTGTTGCTAGCACACTTGTGGCAGTGCTGCATGGGGTGCAGTGAAAGCCAAGGGAAGAGCAATGACCCTGCTTGGTTCTGCACCCTGAGCTGAGCAGTGAGCCAGTTCTTGGTCTAGCTGCAGCTGGACGTCTTGTTCAAGGCTTTTGGGGAAGGCAGCACAGAAGCAGCTGTACTCATTGCTGTTTCTGGATTCCAGGCATGGTCTGGAGCTGTGTCCCATCTGCCTGCAAGAGCCAAAGGACCCCACCTGCCTGCCCTGCAACCACGTGTTCTGCCACAAGTGCATCAGCCTGTGGCTGGTGCCAGCACAGATGTACTGTCCCTACTGCAGGGTTGCTGTGGAGGATGTGGAGTTAACTGTCTCTGAGGAGCTCAGGTACTCCAGCTACCCTCTCCAGCGTGGGAGCGTTGGGTAGGGAGGCTTTGTGAGGAAATTCTCAACTCTGAGGTGGTCAACACAAGCAGAGTGGAGGGTGAACTTCATCCCTCTGAACTGGACAGATCCTGTCTGTTCTGTTGTTTGAAAAAAAGGGGAAAGCTGCCTTGGCCTCTGTAAAAACATGCAAATCATAGAATGGTTTGGGTTGGAAGGGACCTCAAGGATCATCTCATTGGGAAGGTTGAAAAGTATCTCCCTTGGGTGACTTTTGCCTGTGTGTGCTCGATTCCTCTGTGGTTTAAGAGGTTCTGTGTTTGCTTTTGCCCCTCCCAGAGCTGCCATAGCAAAGAAGGCCCTGTTCCAGCAGAGGTGCAATAATTTCTTCATTGACATGGTCACCACCATGTGCTTCAAGGACAACAAGCCCCCTGAGCCAAAGGTGATCCAGAGCCTCCTGGATCTGCTGTTTGCTCGCAGAGGAACAGTTTCGAAAGACCCAAGTGAGCTCCCTTCACCCTGACACTCAGTCGTATAGAGCTGGATCTGTCACCACCTTCTGTCAACTGCCAAACCTGTCCTTCCCTTGTCTCCACAGATGACCCTGCTGTCTACACAAAATTCCTGTCCCCATTTAATGATGAGGTGGATGAAACTCCCATCATCCGCTCTGTGATGCTGAAGCTGCTCCTGAAGTACAGGTGACCACATTCAGCTGAGGGAGGTTAAGCCAGGGCCAGGTTCAGCTCTGTTCCTCATCAAACCCATCCCATTGTTCTCCTCACCTCCCTGAGTTTCGTTGAATCTGAATCCCTTTGTATTAGTCGTGCAGCTTGGCTGGCTTGCATGGGGCTTGTGGTGCAGTGTGAGCAGCCTGTGCAAGGTTTACCTGGCTGTCCCTCACTAACCCTGTGCTGAGGATGGATGCCTGGGTTCTGCAAGGTCACTGAGTAGTTGCTGTCATCAAGGTCAGTAAAGCAAAACTCCTCATTCATGGAGATTTAATCAGGATTTAAACTGATCTTATGTCTGCTCCACAGACCTCCCCATTCCCACAGCCCTCCCAACCTCCCTGTGCAGGCAGGGCACAAAAGCCCTTTCTCAGGTGTGACCACCTCCTGAAGCAGATGCCTTTTTCCCTGGAAGTGCTCATTGAGCACTGGTGGTGATCAAAGCCTGGCTCATTCCCAAATGTCACCTGCAAAAAATTACAAGAGCTTTTCCATCTTGCAGCTGGATCCAGAGTGACCCCACCTGTAACACAGCCAGCTCTGGAAGCTCTGCTGTGATTTAGAGCAGGGGCAGTCCTGTCAGTATGGCAGCTGTGTCAGGGGGTCTCTCTCTCTCTCCTGTAGCTTCAATGAAGTGAAAGATTATGTGCAGCATTACCTGTCCCAAGTGGAGCACAGCAGGCTCCTAGAGGAAAATGATAAAAAAGAGCTCTACTTGCTTTTTGTCAACTGCTTGGAGGTAAGAGCTGGGCAAGTGACTTTGTAGTTAAAATCACCATTCGTGTTCTTGCTAAGGGACAGACAGGTAGAGTTTGGCATCCTGGAACATGGAATGTCTGTCATTCACAGTCTGCTCCTGACTCTAGCTCAGCTCCAAGCCTTGGGAGTGTAGGACAGCTGGGGCACATCCTAAAAATGGTGTTTGGTGACATGGCAGAGGTTTAGGATGAGGGGGCAATGGCAGTGGTTTGGAAGGGTGCAGGGATGGTTTGGAGGGTCAGGGATGGTTTGCTGTGCTTGTGGCAGGGTGGGCTGAAGAGTCAGGGTTGGTTTGCTGTTCTTGTGGCAGGGTGGGCTGGAGGGTTAGGGATGGTTTGGGGGCTCAGGGATGGTTTGCTGTGCTTGTGGCAGGCTGGGTGCCCTGGGGACACAGGGGTGGCTGGGTGAAGTTGCTCTGCCACTCACCAGTGTTCCGACCTCTCTATAGGATTCCATGTGTGAGAAGTTAGAGGACAGTGTGGGATGTGGGCATGGAAACAGTCTGCCCGAGGACAGAGCCTTTCCAGAGAACTACCTGCCAGCCAGCAGCAGCAGGGCTCCCCAGGAAGCCTCTGTGGAATACCTGCAGGCCGTGGCCGAGGTGCGCCTGTGCCTGAGCAGGGCTGCAGAGCTCATCTTCGACCTGCAGCAGCCCAAGAGTGAGTCTGATTGCTCTGCTGGAAATGCTGCATGCAGGGCAGGTGGGCTGGACACAGGCAGTGCCCAGTGCTCTGCTAGGACCTGTTTTGGTGCATGGCCAAGAAGGAGAGCAGCAACTCCCTTTTTTCCTTGGGGGTGTCAGTCAGTGTCTGTCCCCTGTACCATGTGTTAGAAGTGCTCTGTAAACTGGTAGAAAGGCTGTGCTGGTGACCCCAGTGTAGTTACATAGCAGTTAACACCTGTGGAAGGAGATTTATTTTATCCTCCTGTTGCTAACAATGAAATTTATTTAGAGCCCACTAAATTGAACCTTAAAGCATAAATGCTGCTTGAGACCCAGCACTGCTGTAAGGGTTATTGTTTTTTATGAATGAGACCTTTGCAGAGCTAGAAGGGATTAGGAGTTTATAATGATGAGTTTATATCTTCCGTGTCAAAGAAATTACTCATTGTCTGAAATCTGGCTGAGGATATGCTCCAGACAACACCCGAGGAAGGGAGGGCTCTGAAGTTCTTCTGTGTAATAACACAGTACTAATAAATGGACTTGGTGCTACAGCTGGGGCAGACAGAAAAGTTTTACAGGGTGGGATGTGCTTTTGCCTCTTTGTCTTAATCTCTTTTTTGCCCTCCAGGGCCAGAGCAGATGAAGGAGAAGCAGTCTTACCTAAAGAATGTGGAGAAGTTCTGCAGCCTTGCCAGGAACGACTGGCACCTTGTGTACCTGGTCAGGAGGATTGCCAGCCAGCACGGGATGGAATTTGCTCAGAAGTTGGTCACAGAGCCACAGTTCAGTTGGGTGTTCCCAGCAGAAATTCTGCAGCAGGTAGACAAGAGGCACCTCCTGGTGATGGTTCTGGTCTCCTCTTTGCCTTCACTTTGTGCTGCTTTGGGGTGTTCCTACTGTTGTGTGTCCCTTGGCATTGGGCCAGCGTGGCAGTGGTTGGGAGGTGGCTTGTCCTGGCTCTCGGATGAATGGAGTCTCTCCTGGCAGCACCATGCCTGCTGCTGCTGCTCTGGGGAGCCTGAAATGCCACAGTGCTTGGGAGGAAGAGGAGATTATGCCACCTCCAGCTGGGTGGTTGTCCCCAGTGCTGTGCATGGCTGTTCCCTTGGCAGGTCCAGCACAGCCAGTCCAACCACATCGACCAGTACCTGGTGTGTGGGGAGCGGTACCGGGCCCTGCGCGACGCCGTGGGACGAGCCATGATGGAGGGCACAGCCCAGGGGCTGCTCGAAGCTCAGGAGGTACAGCCCAGTGCTCCCTCAGACCCCTGCTGGGCCCTGTCCTCCCTCCAGGTCCCTGCTGGGTTTGCATGGCCCCAGCTCTGCTGTGTCCCTCTGGGCAGTGTCTGTTCCCAGCACCTGGGGGGCTGCTGCTGGAAGGTCACTGGGGCTTGTGCTCAAGCACGTTTTCTTTACTTTCCCACCTGCACATCCCATCACTGTAGCTGGGGCAGCTCTGGCCTGTTTCCAGCCACATCTTTGGTTCTTCCCAGGCCTCCAGCAGCTCCCCAGCTCTGAAATCTGCCTATCTGCTCCTGGCTATCTTCCGAGAGGTCACTGCTCTGTATGGGAATCCAAGCCTTCATCCCAAGAAGCAGGTAGGACATCCCAAGCAGCACACCCCCTTTGGCAGCTTGTGCCAAACCTGCTTCATGGGTAAGGAGGAAGGGAATCTGAATCAGTGGTGGAGGAGTTTCGGTTCCTGTGCCCCAGCCAGGGTGATGGCCCGGAGCTGAGCAGGCTGTGGAGGTTTTGGGAGCAGGGTAACCCAGTATGGGAAGCAACTGCCAGTGCTCTTTGGGTGGGGGCAGTATTCTGATGGCTTTAACTCCTTCCAATCTGTGCTTTCAGCAAACAAAGGTGATGACTGAATTCATCCAGCGCTCCCGAGTGCTGAATTCCCCCGAGCTGCAGCGCTTCGCAGTTGCCCTGGTGAAGAACACCCTGCCTGGGCTGGCTGTGGAGCCGCAGGGCCGCAGCCAGCAGAGAGCCCTGCTGGAGATGGCTGTGCACATGGCTGCTGTGCTGCTCTGTGGGCACAGCCCTGTCCTGCAGCCCCTCAGGAACCTGGCCTTCCAGCCACGCACCATGCAGGTGAGGGCACGGAGCTCACATGCACTCAGCTCATCCTTGGATCTTGCCTGTGTCTGCTGGATCCTCTTTCTCAACAGCTCCAACTCACTGGTTGAGCTGTGAAACACTGGGGGGAATTATTTCAGTGCTTTTGGGGTTAATTAGCACACTACCAGGCTCTGGCCTGGTATCTTTTCAAGGCACCTCTCCATCCTGAGCAGGATGAAGCTTTAAATATCTTTGCTGATATTTGGATGAGCAAGGCTGAGAGCAGCTGGCAGCTCCCACTGTGCTGACCTGCCTGCTCAGAGAGCTCTGGCTTCTTGGTCAGGGGGAGAGAGCTGCTGCTCTGCTATTTCTGGCTACCCAAGGTGGAAGGGAACGCGCTGGTATGCACCAGGGTGCATCAGCAATGCACTGCAGGATGTCTGGAGAGTGCACATGCAAGTCTTAACAATACTGACAGTTCTAAGAGTGGATTTTCAAAGGTGAATTTGAAAATCTGCATCTGCATCACCTGCTTGACCTCTGCTCTCAGATGTTTCTTGTTCCCCAGTGTGAACAGAGAACCAGTGAGTGACTGCTACAGGACAGAGCTGTTTCCCAGATCCATTTGTGACTGCTTTCCTCTTTCCCTCCTCAGCACTCCTTTCTGCCCACGATGCCCGAGGACATCATGGCTCAGGCAAGGACCTGGGAGGAAATACGTGATCTGCACTGGTATGGTGAGTGCTGCTGGCTGGCTGGGGAAGGAATTCCTTGAGTTTGGAGAGTGAAACTGTTCCAAATGTGAGGACAAACACACTCCTCAGTATAAGTTATCTGTTGTAAATCCAGATTTGTAGACAGTTTGTGTGGGTGATGCACCAAAGGACATCCAGTGCTGTTTAGTCTTCAGCCTGCAGCTGTCCACAGAGCATGAGAGGGCACAAAGGCAACATGAACCTGGTGTGAGAGGAGAACTCTGCCACCTTACTGGCCAGCTTTGTCTCTGCTTCCCACAGCTGGACCTTCCTGCAGCAGGGAATGGGGGGTGAGACCATTCCTGCCCTCAGCAGTAGAATCTGTCCAGCTTTGATTCCTTGTTTCTCAAGGAGAAGCAACACTGAAAAATTCCTTGGCTTCCTGCACGGGCCTGTCAGTCCTTTGGGCTTTGGGATAGTCAGGGCTTCTGATTAGATCTTGAATCATATTTCCTGCTCCAGGATGATGGTCCATAGGAAGGGGAATAACAGGGGCTGTATAAATCTGTCTGAGAATACTGTCCTGTTTGATTCTCTCTTCACAGAATGTGCCAATGGCCACCCCTGCACTGTGGGAGAGGTAAGAATTTGGGACTGGTGGGTATTTAAGCAGATAAAGTTTTCAACAACAAACTGTTTTATTTTATTTGCTGGTTTTAATGTTCTGATGCACAGAGTTCCACTTCTAAACTCAATATTATTGATCATTTTATCATTGTAATGTAAAATTTAGCATACCCCCAGCATTCATACCACAGATTGGGAAACATCAGGCAGAGGCCCAGTTTGTAGCAGGGTTTGAATTAACCATTTAGAGGTTGGATTTTTGTTTCATTCCCTTTCTCTGCTGGAGAAGCTGTTGCTCTGGAATTCAGTGTTCTCCTGTTGCTTTTCCCAGTGTGGGCGCCCCATGGAAAAGAGCCGCTGTCCTGAATGCCACGTCCCCATTGGAGGCAGAAACCACAAGCCCGTGGAGGGCTTCCGTCTGTCCAGGTGGGCTTTGCTGCATGGCCTTTGCAGAGCTAAATGATGTGGGACTTGCCTGTGGTGCCCTCAAAGGCCAGAGGTACCAACCACTTCATGCTGCTCTCTGGAAGTTGTAAGAAAGAGATGTCCAAGCAAGAGTAATCAGGCAGCAAAACCAAAGAAATTTGCTTTTCTGTGCACAAAACTGACTGGAAGCCTTCACTCCCCTGTGGCACTTTGAATTGGCAGCTTTTATGGTGTTCAAAGACATTATGGGTCAAAAAGGCATTGCTGGGTATCAGAGATGTCTTGTGTGGTTTTTGTCTAGGTAAAAAAAAAAACATATGCACTTTCCTACAGGAGTCATCAAGACAGAACTCAAACTGGCCACATCCTTGCAGATGTTGAGCACAGAAGGACACTGGGAATATCTGACAGGGGCATGTCCTCCACAGTCTTTGTGCTGCTCCGTTTGCTCACCCACCTGTCCATGCTGCTGGGAGCCTCCAGAGACCCTCAGGTATCTTCCAGAAATGCTTCTAAGTGATCACACAAAATGTAGGGGAACCTTTGTATGCTGCTGGTCCTTTTCATCGTAGTGCCAAGTGACCAGGGCAGTCTGTCAGGATGCAAGACCCAAATTCCCTTGGGTCTTTGGGGATTTTGGTTAATTCCTGCACTTCCATGCAGGCACATCCACCCAGGCCTGCCTTGATGGGCGCAGGTGGCAGGAATCCCACAGGTGGGGGTGCCTGGCAGGACAGAGCTCTGTGTGCTTTGTGCTTCCCTGGATGTTTTTGGCTGTGCTCAACTCTTGCCTTTGTTGTCTTTAGTCCCTGGGAAGGATGATCAAGCCAACAGTGAATGATGTGATGAGCTTCCTGAAGCAGCACATTCAGGAGGACTTGGCACAGCTGACCAGGAGTCTGGGGAAGAGTGTGGATGACACTATCAACATCCTGCACCTGGTGCTCAGCAGCTTCCTGCAGGCCCCCCAGCAGCAGCAAGGCCACCGTAAGAAAAGCCACCTGCCCTGTCACACCTGGGGCTGTGGTTGAAGAGCTGTGGCCATGCAGCCACCTTGCTGATAAACCCCTTCACCCCTAAACATGAGCAGCTGAGCTGAAGAGAAAAATAGAGAGTTTGAAGCTTATTTCTTACTGTAGGGAGGGAAGAATTTTCGTCTGCTTGCTTCTTTCAGTCAAGTACGTGAGGTTTGCAAGGTTTGGTGCAGTCGATAACTCTGAAAATGAATTATTGACAAAACAACTTCATGACAGATGGGCAGAGCTTGCAGCTCCTGAGCAGGGCTGCTTCCCAGCACAGCAGCTCGTTGTGCAGTCCCTATTCTGTGCTGCCTCTCAATGACTCCCAGAAGCTCTTTGGGAGAAGAGGGATGGCACAGTGGGGTTCATGGTAGGGTCTGGAGTCACTGTGGCACAGAGGCATTAATGTGTAAATAGCCCATATTTGGAGTGTGGAACAGCACCAGTCAGTATTCCAAGCTTCAGTCTGTCATTGGACATGGTCTGAGCTTGGACGATCTGTTCGGTATTTCTGGGGTTATGAAGGAGTTGTGTAAATGTCCCCATCATTCACATGAAGCTCCTGGAAACCTGGATCACTGTGTGATCTTTGGGTGTCCCTCTCCAGCTGGACCAAGATACTCAGTTAACTTCTAGCACCTGTGAATCTGTGCTTTCTTTTCACTAAAATATTGCAGATTTAAGAGGTGAAATATTCCTGTTGCAGGGCTGGTGCGGTTTGAGAGTCTGTCCACCAAGGAGGAGAGAAACAATTGGGAAGAAATTGTTGCAAACACAATTATTGTTCCTGAATTGGAGGTGAGAAATCTGCTATACAGAGTCAGTAGCTGAGCCGTTCAAAATCCACTGGAAATCTGATGTGTTGTAATATGTGTGCTACACTTTTCATCTGGCTGTTCCTAAAGCCAGCCCATTCATGGCACAGCTGCAGGTTAAGGATTAGCCATCTTTATTCTACCTGGGGAAATGGGAGCCTGAGACTGGAGTTGTTCTGGGATGAATTTGTATAGCTGGAAAAGTAGAAATGGCTTAGCTCTTTTGAAGGTATTTCACAGCATCTAATAACTTATTATTTTTTAAATGCAGGATTTGGATAAAAAGCTTCTGAAGTTAAACCAACGGATACAAGAGGATGAGAGAATCTTTTCCAACCCCATAGTGAAAATAGTGTATGGGGACCCAGCTGCATTCCTGTCCCGGCTGCCAGGGGACAGCCACATCCACCATTCCAAGATGTGGAGCTGCCGCAGGAAGGTTTCAGTGGAGAACCTGAGCCACGTTGTGCAGCAGAAGAATGCCAAGGACACCGTCCCTCTCCTCTGGAAGTTCCTGCAGAAGGTGGGGCTGGCACAGGGGTGAGAGCCTGGGATTGCCCAGGACTAAACCATGTTTGGATTATCTCAGTACTTGCTATGATCTTGAGAATAAACATGGAAGATATTGTTGTCTTTTAAACATTTAAGAAGCAATGCCATAAAAGTATTCCCAACTGGTTTGTCCGAGCATAGCCTTACCCACAGGTTCCCATTCCTCTTCCAGGAAAGTGAGCTGAGGCTGGTGAAATTCCTCCCAGAGATTCTGGCTCTGCAGAAAGATTTGGTGAGGCAATTCCAGAACACAGCAGAGATCAAAGACTGCTCCATTGGGGAATTCCTCAGGGAAACCCACTCAGGTGAGGAGACTCTGCCAAAGTTGTAATTAATGAAACAGAAAATGCTGGATTGTCTTGTGAAGGGGAAAACTCTCCTTTTCCTTTTAATTCTCACCAGAATGAACTGGAGACTTGAATAGGGTTGGAAAAGTTACCAGATGTCTTTAAAGGGAATTAGGTACAGGAGATTTTTTATGAGGGGTGGGAGCTCTGTGCAGTGCAGCAGTGGTTCTTTTGGCATTTTAAGCTCAGCCCTAGAACAGGGCTTGCCTAAAGAGCAATTACTAATGTTTTTAAGTACTTATGGGGAAGTACATAAAGGTCATGTGGAATTAGACCAAGGGCCAATCCATCCTTGTGGCCTGGGCCAGGAGCAGACAATAATGGAAAATAACAAACTGAGCAGATGACTCCATTTGATACCTTTAGAAAGGTGTTTGGCGTCTGTTTAGTCTCTTGAGCAGTTGGAGCAGTTGCCTGGAGTTCAGTGGTGTGCTCTGAAGATCCCTGCGTTGGAAAGTTTCACCAGGAAAAGGTGTTTGATGGATTTATCTTTCTGTTGTTTCTCAGGTGTGATGAGGGAGCTGTTAGAGAGGAGAGTGAATGTGTTTCTGTCTGTCTGGAACAAGCTGAGAAGCTCCCTGGACACCAATGGTGAGCAGCTTCTTTCCCAGCCCTGCTCCTCCACTGCTTCTTGTTCTGAATTCAGGTTCCTCCCATCACTGATGCTGAGGCATATCCTCAAAACTGGGCTTGGCCATTGAATTTTAAGAAGGGGAGAGATTTGTTTCCCTGTTGTAGTATTCTTACCTGAACTTGTCCCCTTTCGTGCTTGTCTCTAATCCTGAGCCCGTGGCTTTTCTCAGCTTTGTACCTCCTCCTGCCCTGGCTCAGCCTGGGCTGGCTCTGGGCCTCCTCAAACACTGCTGTCTGTATTTCAGGGGAAATCAAGCTGCCTAAAAGCTACTGTGATGCTGAGCTGAGCATGGACAACAGGCTGGAGGTGCTGCTGCCACGGCGGCAGGGGCTGGGGCTGTGCTCCACGGCACTGGCCAGTTACCTCATTGGGCTGCACAACGACTTCATATACTCTGTCACCAGAGACACCAAGGAGGATGACAGGTGTGCTGCTGCTCTGCTCCTTGGGCTCTGCTGCATCCCCTGCTCCCTCTCAGGCAGTTTTCCCTGCTCCACAGAGGCGTCTCTCTCTGAACACAGGCCCTTTACTCCCTGTAGGTACCTGGTCAGCCCCTCGGAAGTGGCCGACCTGCACCTGATCAGTTACGAGGTGGAGAGGGACCTGATCCCTCTGATCCTGTCCAACTGCCAGTACAGCATGGAGAAGGGAGGGGAGACCTTGCAGGACTTTGATCTGGAGAGGATCCAGCAGCAAGTGATCAGCAAGTTCCTGCAGGGGAAGCCACTCATCACGCTAACGGTAGGAGGGGCAGGACTGTGAAGCCAGGAGGGCACTGGGAGCAGCATTCCAGGCTTCACATCCATGGGTTTCTCTCCTGACAGGGAATCCCCACCCTGGTGTACAGACATGACAGGAACTATGAGCAGCTGTTCAGTGATGTCAAGAACAAGCTGGAGCAGGTGGGTTTCTGCACTGCAGGAAGCAGGGCAAGCATGAAATCCCTGCTTTTCCAAGGGTTTTCTGTGCCTTGCCTTGTCCATCCAAAGGCTTGTCTGCTGATTTCTCAGCATGCCTTGGGTACGCGCAAGCTGGCCTTGTGCTGTCAGTCAGGACTTACAAAGAGAAAGGGAGATAGTTCAGCACTTCAGTTTCCTAAATCTGGGCTTCTGTTGTCTTCCTTGACTTGAGCAATTGGAACAGAAAAAGGAATGGCTCTAAAACAATATTAATTGTGACTTTGTGGTTTTCAGAGTGCTCTGCCCAGTTCTGTGATGAACATGATCAGTGGGGAGCTGCAGTCCTACAGTGATGTGTGTGATGCTCTGTCCCTCACTGAGATTACCCTGGGCTTCCTGGCCATTGCTGGTGAGAATGCTGACATGCTGCTGACTGAGTACATTGAGCAAGTTCTGCAGATGGGGGATCAGACAAACCCTCATGTGCTGCAGGTGAGTCCTGAGGGCAAAGCTCAGATTCCTGTGGGGTAAAATCTGCCCTGGTTTATGCTAAATCCAGCCTGTGTGACAGAGCCCTCTCACTTTCCCACTGCCTATTGTGGTATCAAAAACTGGCTTACTCAGGGCAGATGGGGAAGGGCGAGAGGCAGATGAGGTCCACCCAGTCCAAGGGGCTGGATGAGCTCTGTGCTGAGCACTCCTGGGCAGGGCAGGCTGGGGACAGGCTCCAAGGACATCCCTCACATCCTTCTCTTCCAGGCCCTCAGACGGTGCCAGCTCAGGCACAGCATGGCCCTGTGGCAGCTCCTTTGTGCCCACAAATCTGAGCAGCTGCTACGCCTCGGCAGGGTATGGCATCCCCAGCACCTCTGTGTGACCTCCTTTGCTCTGCTCTGCTCTGCCTGCAGCTGTTCAAATGTGTCTTTGGGTTTTTTCTTCCCTCACTGCATTTTTAGGATCCTTTTGCAGATGTCAGTCCTGGCTACACAGAACAGCTCACCCCAGAGCTTGTCAAGCTCTTGCACACCTTCCTGGTCCACTCCAGGCTGGAAAACTTCCTGCAGGAGCTCCACGAAATGATCATCCTGAAGCTGAGAAGTGTCCAAGCTGTGGAAGAATTCAAACCCACGTGGAGGTAGGAATTACACACCCAAAGCCACCACAGTTGTTGTTTACTGAAGCTTCTCTGCCTCTGAGTATGCACACAGTGGGAACACTCCCTTGGCACATGCATGTCCTGGGGGACACAGCCCAGGCAGCAGCATTAGGAATATCCATACCCATTTCTGGCAAGTGTCACTTCCATCTCACACGGGCTCTCTTGGAGATACTGCTGGAACACTCCAGGAGCTGCTGTCCAGGGCACAAACACCAGCACTTCTGCAGGCACTTGGATAAAATAGTAACAGAATCACAAACGCATTAAGACTGGAAAAAATCTCCATGGTGCTCAAGGCCAGCCTTCAAGGATAGGCACACAGCTCTGCACAGGCACTGCTCAGCCCTAGAGCTCAGGTGTGCCCTGCAGCCTCCCCTTGCTGGCCTCTGTGGCTCCACCTGGCTGTTTAACCTTCCCACTACACACACACACCCCCCTGTTCAGTTGTGTATTGAGTATTTTGGGTGCTGCAGTGCACTCATATTGTGGCACTTGAGGTATGCTGTACCCCTGCTGTTAATGCCATTCTGCTCTGTCTTCCAGCCTGAAAGAATCACTCGTGCCTTACCTTGATGCCAAAGACTCTGAATTAGCTGCGGAGCTGGAAGACACATTCCCAGATGAGATTCTTCTGTCTCATGCTGCTGATACCTGGAAAGCAGCTGCTGTCTTCAAGAGGGAGCACAGGGACAGTTAGGACAGAACCCTGCCAGGGAATGCCACAACACCCATGTCAGGGCTTCTGGAACTCGGGGCATTTGTTTGGGGCTTGTTGGTTGTTCTGTGGGTTTGGGGTTGTTGTTTTTACACCTGATGTGAAGAGGAGAGTGGCTGTGGAGGAGGAGTGTGGGAATCTATAAAATCAGAGGGTTTTGGGAAAGCTGCAAAAGGCAGGCCTCAGAGACAGGAGAACTGTGATTAGAGCTAAGCAGTAGCCATAAAATGTCAGCAGAAAAATTACATGAAAAGTAAGGACAAATGGAACAATGGTCTGTGTATTAACGCTTGTCCACAAGAACTCCCTAAGCTGCAGAAAAGTATATCTAGCGAGATATTAGAAGGTTCTAAGCTTAATAATGGAGCTCTGTGCGCTATGTTTTAAGGCTTACAAACAGGTATTGTATTCTAAATAAGCAAGTGTTGTTTTAACCGGAGGTGCGTGTGCCTGTAGTGATTCGATGCTACTGTCAGCATGCTTTTGCTTTGTGCGATTGGTCAAAAAACTTAAAAAGTAAGTTGTAACATTAAGTTCTTGGTCTGCTGCCTGGGATGTGAGCTGATGGCATCTTCCCATTGCCATAACCATGTAATGAGACCAATGCTGGAAAATAAAACGGCTCAAGGCACGTTCCTAGCAGTCCTAGTTCGTGATTAGTACATAGACTCCGGCTGGTGATAGAGGAGGAGTGTGAAATAGCACAGTTCCAGAGCCACTGGAGGAGCATGAAGGACGTTTTTTACAAATCATGGTGCCCTCGTGCTGGGGTAGGGTTGATGTTTTCCAGCCTGCCTTTCTGCGCTGGCTGTAGAACCGGCTCCTGCCCAGCGCCCCCGCTGCGGCGGGACCCGCACAAGGAGCCCGAGGGCAGCGGCTCCTTCGCTGCCTTCAGCCCGGCCCGCCTTGTCCCAGCCGGGTTCTCCCCCTCCCCTTCCCAATAAACTCATTCAGCTCCCGCGGCTGCTCCCGGCTCCTCCCGCGATCGGTGCCGGGATTCGTGCCGGGCTCGGTGTGGCCGGCGCGGAACGGCCGCGCCTTCCGGGGAACGCCGGCGCTGCGGGACGGGCGGGCCCAGCGCCGCCATGGCCGCCTACCCCGTCCGGCGGCTCCGCTGGGAGCGGTAGCGGGGCTCGGGCTGGGCCCGGCCGCGCTCGGGGCTGCCCGGCACCGCGTCCCCACAAGGCATGCATGGGCGCCCTCGGCAAGAGCCGGCGGTGGTCCCTCCCCCGGTTGGGGTCTGGGAGCTCCTCAGGGAGCGAACGCGGCGCAGTTCGGGACGGGGGCTCGGGCAGGCGCCTCCCCAGAGCGGCCCCGCTCTGAGCGCGGCGGTCCCGCAGGAACCAGGCTCGGCTGAGGGCCATCGTGGGGGAGCAGGATACCGAGGAATGGGAGAAGGACCCGCAGTTCTCCGGGCTGCAGAGAGTGGGAGGTGTGGATTTATCCTGCATCAAGGGGGACGAGAGCCGTGCCTCCCTGGTTGTGCTCAGCTACCCGGCTCTCGAGGAACCCCCGGCCCGGCCGTGCCCGGCCGCGGGGCTGTGGGGCAGCGGCAGGTGGGGTACTGGGGAGGAATGCTTCACTGAGAGGCACAGGATGCCCAGAGGAGCAGCGGCTGCCCCTGGAACCCTGGAAGTGTCCCGGGACAGGCTAGACGCGGCTTGGAGCAGCCTGGGACAGTGGACGGTATCCCTGCCTGTGGCAGGGGTGTGGAATGGGATGGGCTTTGAGGTCACTCCCGACCAAACCATTCCGTGCCAGTCCGTGATTCTGTGTGTGTTGAGCAAACCTTCCAACTGCGTGTTCCAGAGGAAAAACAAACAAAAACAAAAAAAAGCAAAAAAAAAAAAAAAAAAAAAAAAAAAAAAAAAAAAAAAAAAAAAAAAAAACAAAAAAAAAAACAACAACAAAAAAAACCCTGTGGATAGATAGAATGGAAGAGAATAGAGATAGTGCTAATCTTACCCCTAAGGAGTTACAGCTGTGCTATCAAGAATTAGGAACAGGCCTGCCTTAATAAGCCACAGCTGGACCCAGTTAGGAGGGGTATGGTAAAAGAGCAGGTTGGCTGGTTCAGAAGGCTGGATGGACTTTGTTGGCTGTGCTGAGAAGGAGTCAGTGCTGTGAGGAGCTGCCTGTGAGAAATCACCAAGAAGGCATAAAACCTTTGCAACAAGATGGCAACACCCCCCCAAAAACACCCCCACAGACAAAAAAAACCCACCAAAAAAAAAAAAAAAAAAAAAAAACCATAAACACACCTATAGAAAATTTACCATAAGTTAAAGTGTCCCGGGACAGGCTAGACGCGGCTTGGAGCAGCCTGGGACAGTGGACGGTATCCCTGCCTGTGGCAGGGGTGTGGAATGGGATGGGCTTTGAGGTCACTCCCGACCAAACCATTCCGTGCCAGTCCGTGATTCTGTGTGTGTTGAGCAAACCTTCCAACTGCGTGTTCCAGAGGAAAAACAAACAAAAACAAAAAAAAGCAAAAAAAAAAAAAAAAAAAAAAAAAAAAAAAAAAAAAAAAAAAAAAAACCCTTGGGAAAAAAAAAAAGAAAAAAACCCTGTGGATAGATAGAATGGAAGAGAATAGAGATAGTGCTAATCTTACCCCTAAGGAGTTACAGCTGTGCTATCAAGAATTAGGAACAGGCCTGCCTTAATAAGCCACAGCTGGATCCAGTTAGGAGGGGTATGGTAAAAGAGCAGGTTGGCTGGTTCAGAAGGCTGGATGGACTTTGTTGGCTGTGCTGAGAAGGAGTCAGTGCTGTGAGGAGCTGCCTGTGAGAAACATAAAATACCTGTAAGGATTTAGACAGAAGTTTAGGAAGGTGTGATGCAAACAGCTCCCAGTTGCAGGAGTTTTGTGGGATGGCTGGGAACTCACCCAGGGTCCAGAGGAGTCGCTGTGCCCATTCGGGGAGCAGGTGCCCGTGGGCAGATGGAGGTGTTTGCAGTGCCCCAGTGCAGAGTCCTGTGGGTGAGCTCTTGCTGGGAACCAGCTGATTATATGGGCTGTGACATAGGAAAGCTTTTCCAAACCTGCCACGGGTCTCACTTCTTACAGTCATTTGACTTGAACTAATGAAGATTTTTTTGTCTCTTTCCCAGCTTTCAAAGTGTTAAAAAATTGTCTTTCACTATAAAACCTCTAACAAGCAGAGAAATAAAGTTTGATGCTGTCTGCTGGGATTTTAATGAACTGAATCTCCTGCTGTGATCTGCAGGGCAAGGCAGGAATCTGTTTTGTGCTGCCTGAGACCATTTCCTTTGACCTGTCCGTGGGTATAAGAGGGATGAGCAGCGGGCATGAAGCAGAGGAGCTCTGGACCATGCAGGGGCTCTCTGGCAGGGTGCTGTCTGTGCCTGCCCCAGCTGCTGTGCCAGGGTTGCCGCATGGTGCCCGTCACTGCCCCGTGCGTGGCCGGGTTCTTGGCCTTCCCAGAGGTCCCTGTCCTGGTGGAAGCTGTGCAGAGGCTTCAGCAGGAGGAGCCCCAGCTCCAGCCTCAGCTGTGCTGTGTTTCCCTTCTCTGCGCTGGGCTGTTCTGGCTGCAGAGTCCTGGGAAAGGTGTTCTCCCTCCAGAGCCTGAGCTGCTGGGGTGGGAGGGGCACGGGAGAGCTGTGCTGGAGCATCCATTCCCTTTCCTTGGGGAGCAGGGATGTGGAGCTGGGAGCAGCCAGCCCTCCCGTGGCAGTGGGAACCTGTGGTGTGTGCAGGGCACTGCCAGTCCCACACTGCTGGGGAGCTGCTGCTGTGTTTCAGGGGAAGCTGCTGCTTCAGGGTCAGGCACATGCAGCAAGAGCCTTACAGGGAGAACTGAGGAACCAAAAGAGATTTCTCCTTCCCCCAGAGCCAGCATCCCTGCTTGCTCCTTGGAGTGCTCTCAGTGCCCAGGAAATAACATTTCTCCTTTGTTTTTTCCAGGTGCTTCAATCCACTTCAGGTGCTTCCATCAGGTACATCATTCCACTTGTGAACAAGACTGCTCATGAGGCCTGGGGGCTGTGCCAGGCCACCAACAACAACATCCAGAAAGTGAACGCAAGCATACCTGTGCTAATTAAATTGGCTCAGCCAGACATCCCCCTGCTGCAGAGAGGCCTCAAGGAGCTCGTTGAATCGCTGCTTGAAGTAAAAGCAGGGACTATTTTGACAAATTTAACCCAGCATGTTGACATATCCATGGTAAATGCAATGAACAACATCACCAAACTTCAGAAGCAGCCAAAACCAGTGATAAAAAAGCCCTCCCCAGCAAAAAAAGTGGCAGGAAATGCCACCATGAGCCTGGCAAGCCGAAGCCAGAGAAACACGGATAATGCAATAGATCCAGGTAATGCATTTTACTCTACTAAAAATCAAGGTATGTTTTATAAAGATTGTGTAACCATTGTGATGAACTGGGTGGCAGAACTTGACTGAGAGTAAAGAAAAAGTCTAAAGACTGCTGTGAAGAGTGTTTCAGAGGATCCTGAGATTAGCCTCTTGCTTAGAATAGAATTTATTTTGCTTATGAGATTTTGCACTCAATTTAACTTTCTTTAATAGGTCCCCATCTGATCAGTTTAAGATATATACACATGCACATAAACTCAGCTGAGAACCTGACCTTTGAAAAGTTACTGACAGTTTACACAAAACCTAAAGAGCAAGAGTTTTATGCCTGCATCTCAATTAACAATTTCAGTAGAAAAAAATGTATGCAAGCTGGGAGAGAAACATGGAGTTGCATCAGTACTTTGCAGTGTCAGCAGGGATGATAGGTATCAAAAACCTGGAGCAAGTGAACAAAAATGACTGTAATGAGGCTTTTGCTGGCTCCTTCAGGACTTCATGGAGAAGTGCAGTTACAGCAATATGTTCCTGAAAAAGCAGAAATCCAGCCAATAAAGTAAATTTGGCTGCAGTCCACCTGGAGAGCAGCTCAGCTAAGCAGGAGCTGCCATTCTTAAAAAGAAAATCATGAGTGTGATCTGCTTCTGAACTTAAATTCAAATGCCATCATGTGAAATGAGTTTTGAATGAATTCACAGGAGTACAAACTCTTGAGCTGTGACTTCTGCAATCATACATGCGTGAAAATCACAAGCACAAGATAATGTTTTATGGAAATATAATTTCTGGCACAATACAGAAAATGAAGAGTGGATGAGTGACTCGAAATACTGAGATGATTCTAATTCACATTAAAGTTAAGATTTCTTAAGAAGAGAGTCATGTCCAGATACTTTTGAAGATTCAGACCTGCATATTTTCTCTAAAATGCTCCTAAACTTAAGAACATTTCTAAACCAATACTTGGTCCTTATTGCCAGCAGATGTAGACATAGTAAGAGCTATTACTCTTGTTCATGTCCTAAGGCCAGGGCAGTTTCCTTTTCCCTTTCCATGCCTTTTTCCTTCCTTTCCACTTTAATTCTTTATCTCTTCCCGTTGTAAGGACAGCATTTCTCAATGATCAATGGAAAGGATCCTTTTTAAAGCCATAATCCCATGAGTAGCTTGGTTTCTGATGAAAGTCATCCCCACTGAAGGATTTCAGTGCTTGGTTATCTTTTCAGTTAGAGAAAGGAGGCAATCACACTTAAAAATGCACAAAGGAATTTGAATATTTTGCTATTCAGAATTGCAATTCTTCCTCAAGTCCTTTTTGGTTTATGTCTGTTACTGGCACTGCACAGGATGGAAATTCAAAATCTTTGTTCAAAATGGAAATTAAGAGAAAATGAGAGGTGTCTTTGATCCTTCACACACAATGTACATTGTTGGAAAGTATCACTAGTGCTACCTGCCTGGAGCATAGGAAGATGCCACCTGCTCTGGTTTTCACTCCATATTGATGCATTAATGTCTTTCCCATTTATTATTTGTACTCAATTTTAACAAATAACTTGCTTGATAGCATTGGATATATGCTCACTTGCTGGAAGTGCAGTTCTTTGCAGATGTGGAGAAGCCTTATTTTTATATGAGGTTTTACATAGCAATGTTTATGCTGACTTTTCCATTGGTAAGGAGATTTTGTACTTAACAAATTTCATGCCTAGCAAAGCCATACATTACATATCTGTAAGTTAAAGAAGCAAGACCATTACCCTAAATAACAATTATCCATCTTGTGCCTGGGTGGATTTTACTTCTCCATGAAAGCTTTTTCTTGCAAGTTTAGGACACCACCAGAGATTTATGCTCCCTTTACTAAAATTTCTAGAAGAAACTCTAAGGCATAATTGGCTAATTATAAAATGTATTTAATCTTAGATTGACTTTTTCAACTGAAAAAAAAATCTAGAGAGAAGTGAATGACAATTTTCATTGACTCCAAAATGTTCAATTTGAACCTACTCTAACAGATTAGGGGTTTAACTGGCTGTAATGTGTTCAGGATTTGACTCTGAGGTAATACTTTCTAAAATAATTAGTTGAAATCAGAAGAAAACAATATGAGTTTGCATTGCATACGCAGGGACATAAAACTTTGCAGACTTCCCATATGGTGGAATAAACTTAAGAAAAGTTCTATGTCAAGTAGAGGCTACAATACATGTGTGAGGGGTGAAAGCACCAACACTTGACTGACACTGACTGTAACAGCAACCCAGGGTGCATAAAAAAGTGATTATCTTAAGACAGCTTCAATATCTAAAAGGAGATTACATTAAAACATATATTTTTAAATATGCATATATACATACACAGTAACTGTTAATTAGTCTTAGTTTTGGGTTGTGACTGGTCCTACTTTCCAATGCACTGTTCTCCTGCAGAAATGAGTGTTGCAGTGTGAGGGCAGTTTAGCTCAGTTCCCATTTTCCTGTTGCTGTTAGTGCTGCTCCCTAGGGAATCTAGAGACTGCTGTGCTTTCCAAATGTGAGTGTACTCTCTTGTTGCATGTCTTGTATTGGTTGTGGGTTTTGTTTCATTCAGATTATGCCACCCTCCCATCAACATGAATAACTGAGAGTCAAGCTGTGTTGTATTCATGCATTTAAAACAGTACACCTGTGTGAGAGGTAATTTCAATTCATTCTCACTTTCTGTGTTTTATTTCTGATTTTGTTTTCACAAGATTTCTAACTCCTAACAGAAATGCAAGCTTCCATTGTTGCTTTATCATTCAGGCCTCAATTTCAAGTGAAATTAACCTATTCAAATGTTTTCCATCCTGTGTTTTAATTGCACAAATTAGATGGTTATTCCAGTTCAGCTTGGTGACACACACTTCAAATTTGCATATTTGCTCTTTAGACTAATGGGTTGATGAAGCTGTTGTGTTCTTTTTAATTTGGTGAATCTAAAATCATCACACAGGAATTATCAGATGTCTCTGCTTAACAGAGAAACAGAGTTGCTGGTGTCCAATTAGCACATTGGCCCTGACACTCCACCCCACCCAAAACTGGAGGGCACAGCCCTCTCCTCCTTGCTTTTTGCCTGCTGTCAGCCTGAGGGTGCTAAAACAGGGGTGATTAATTACTATAGGCAGGCAACCAGTTTGACCCTGTGTGAGCAGGGTGGTTTAGCAGATACCCAGGCTCTTCCAGTCTCCTAGGGCTTCCTGAGAAGCAGGTACTGATAACTGAATACTGAGAATATGTTTTTAGGTTACCTCCTGGTCAGAAGAATTTCCAAGCTGAACTGCTGGAGTCAATCTTTTCCATAAGGAGGCCATTAAATTGTTGAATATTTGTTTTGCTTCTAAAAAAAAACCCGGTAGATACTGACAGAGCTTCATTATTTGTTTGAGACTTGTTTGCACAGCACTGGCAGTCTATTTCCCAAAAGAGCTTCTGGCTGTCTGCCTTCCCAAAGAGCAGCAAAACTGAGCATTAACTGGCTCTTCTCATTACTGCTATACCAAGTGTAATTAGCAACTACATTTTATTCTCCGCTAGTAATAGTGACAATTTAAGCCTTTAATTTATAGTCTCTCTCTTTTACTCATCTACACTACTAAGTTGTGAAACATTAATTAACAATAAAATGTTTGTTTTAGTACGAGATGTGTTCCTAGTCTGAACCCTCTGGTATCTTTACTCCAAGGAGATAATTCAGACATAGTGTCTCAGGACACTCTTCTGTGAGAAAAGAGAAAATACAGGGCAGAGGAGCAGCCTCAGGCCAAAATGCCAGCAGAAATATGCTATGTAGCATAGTTACATGGAGATTATTGGCACAGTGGAGATCTGCAGAATTTGCCTCTTGCTCTGAAAATCGTAATTTGACTCAAACCCCACACAACTTCTCTTATTCTAGCAAATGGAGGAGCTTCCCAGTTGCTGTTAAGCCATGTCTCACAGGGAGGGTTAATTTAATGTGGATAAAGCTATGTCTGAGTTTGAATTAACTCCAAGGTTAAATTCGGGCAGAATCACCCCACAGCAGACTTCCAAAATGCTAGTCTCAATCTCATTATCATTTCCTTTTAGTGATCTTTTTCCTGTTTCTTGGGTTTACTTCTTGATAATGATAAGTAGAGGCCAATTAGCAGAGAGACTGCTGTGTTCTTACAGGAAGCTTTTGTATTTTGGGAGTATGATACAGTCGGCACAATCAGCTGTTTTCCTTCCTTTTCTGCTTTCCTTTGACACTTGGTAAATATCAGCGAAATGTTGTGGGTGCTTGGTAAATGTGGGTGAAAAATAGCTTCAATGAAGGATGTAGCAAACTGTTATCTGAGAAGCAAACCATTATTTTCTCATGTCCAGTTGCCTGTGCTGTGACCTCAGTCATGACAGTCCTAAATTGCTTTATTTCAGGCGTTACAGAATAGACATTATTTTCTGTGAAAAGAATGGCTGTTATGTTTATAAATCCATATGCTATATCAGAGCAAATTCAAGTGTCACTGTGTGATGTGCCTCAGCATTCTGCTCACTGAACTAAAATATCACACAGAAACAGTTTGCCTTAATGCAGCAGTCTGTGAAATATCTGGTAGGGAAAACGAAGATAACACTGGAATGACTGAAATATCTATGTGAAATCCAGGTCAGCATTTTCCTGGCAATAACTAGATGCTTTTGTGCAAGACTTTTTCAGTTGTGACCTACCAGCCTAGATTTACCATAAGAGGACTCTGTGGAGTTCTCTTTCCAGAGTTCTGCTGGTAATTCCTGGCAAAAAAAAAGGGTTGTTTTCTAAAATATATGACTTTTATTTGACCAAACCAAGAGAAAGCAAAAATGCATGGTTTGGGAATGCTTTATGTTCAGAATTTTTCATAGCAATATTTATTTTTTTAATGTGACCTGAGTTTTCTCCCCCCAAAACATTGCTATGACAACACATTATTCAGTTACACTCAGTAATTACTGTCTCAGAGCTCAGCAGCACTGGCCTGACAGATTTCTCTGTATTGGCTGAGTGTAATTTGGCCAGCTCATACATAATTGGCAACAGAAGCAAGGACATTCTCAGTGAGGGCGCTCTGCAAAGCCACCTGTTTAGTGTAATTTTTTTGCTTGGAATCCAAAGCTTCTACAACAACCTTGCTAGATATACTGGAATTAGGGACTTCGGACAAGTACTTGAAGTGGCTGGGATAGCATTTAGGACCTTTCGTTACCAGGAGCCTGGCTCTCCTGCAGTGTTTGTCTCGTGTCTGGGTGAAAAATGTCATGGAGGAAACAGTCCAAGCTGTGAATGTTTATGCTGACTTTTCCATTGATACACCCAAGGATAAAATGGCTCAGTCCAGAAAGAACAGCCTGATCTAACTTCTTTGGAGGTTCTTCTTTCTTACTGCATGTACCTGACCCTCTGAGACCAGCAGAGCTCAGAATTTACAGGTCATCTTGAGTATCTTGGAGGATAGCTGAGGGAATGCTGTGTTCAGGCAGAGAGGGAGGTTGGACAGGAACTGCTCATGGAGAACTTCAGCAGAAATTGTGGATTGCCACAGAGCCTTTCCAAAATACCTCATACGTAGGCGGTATGACTGCTGTGACGTTACAGCTGAGGCTGTTGCTTTTGCTCCTCTCTTTCGCAGGGCAGTTTTCAGCGTGTGCCAGCTCCCCGTGCCAGAATGGAGGAACCTGTGTCAATGACAGACAGAGTTTTGTCTGCGCCTGTCGCCACCCCTTTGGAGGAGTCAACTGCAGTGTGAAGCTGCTGAACGACAACTCCCTGAGTGTTGGCAAGTACAGAATTTAGCAGTGCAACACAGGATCAGTGCAGGCCGCTGCCCCAGGGCCTAATTACAGAGCATTTGCTGGTCAGAGGTCTCACGTTTCACTTTAATGAGTGACAACTCAAGCAGCAGAGTCCTGTGTTTTGGTGCTGAAGACATCAATCCCCACGGGTGACTCACCCACGGGTGACTCGTGATCTCTTTTCTTAATGTGACCAGATGATGGGATTAAATTGGTTTGGGACCTGTGATAATAGCTGGAAAGCTCCCTGATGAAATGGGCAGAGTGGGAGGGTGGGCAGTAGATGTATTTGAACACAACGTCATGGATTTTGAAGGGGGAGGTGAAATCACAAAATCACTGGGAAATATTCAATGCAGCCATAAATGCTCCATAAATACCAATAGCTACCAGAAGGTGTGGGACTGTGCCCTCAAGGAGTCATTTTAGGCCTTCCTCTGGCTTTCATCAACAAAGGATGCAGCCCCTTGAAAGATTCCAAAAGGGAAAAAAAGTGAAAATTATACTTATTCAGCATAATAAATACGATAAATAATTTACACGCAGGCCACATGGAATGTGAATTTTATGCTTCTTTCAGCAGTCATTTGGCTGATTTTTACTCATGACAGCATATGAATAGTGAATGAAATAATTTGTACAGGAGCAGGGAATGATAGTGTACAGGCTCAGCTTGAAGAGAAACCCATATACTTTTATCCCCTCATTTAGCATCATGAATGCTAAACCTCCTTGCTGTTTCTCTAAGATTTGTGCTGAAATTCTTGGCTTCAGCTCACTTACATGAACAATGAAAGAGATCCTGGAGTGGGAAAACTAGGAGGGGGGGTGTAAGATGGAAAGAAAGCTCCCTTAATGATAACATAGTACAGACAAACATCAAGTTCCCTTGTTGTTGCTAAATTTTTCTCTGGTGGATACACCTAGCACTAATTGTGAAGAAAATTACTTTTTATACAATATAAAAAAGATGTGCTTATGCAGGAATATTGTGCTTCAGTTGCTCAAGTTCTGTCATCCACAGGATGATGTGACATCAGAAAATCTGCATTTGGTCTTCTGGCTGGTCCAAGTTGCCTTTCTACAATGTAACATCACTCAAAATTTTTCTTTATTCCTTTCCAGATTTCTCAAAAGGATCCTACAGATATGCACCTATGGTGGCTTTTTTTGCTTCTCATACATATGGAATGACAACTCCAGGACCCATCAGATTTAACAATCTGGACGTCAACTACGGTGCCTCATTTGCCCCAGCAACTGGGAAGTTCCATGTTCCATACCTGGGGGTCTATGTTTTTGAATACACCATTGAATCATTCAGCCCCCGTGCCTCTGGCTATCTGGTCATTGATGGAATAGACAAACTCACGTTCCAGGCTGAAAATATTAATAACAGCAAGTACACCGACAGAGTAATTACTGGAAATGCTTTATTAGAGTTAAATTACGGTCAGGAAGTCTGGCTCAGACTGGCAACTGGCTCAATACCAGCCAAGTATCCACCTGTAACTACATTCAGTGGTTACTTGTTGTATCGTACCTAAGTCAGTCCTAAATGGGAGCTGTTAGTCAGATGAAGCAACCTGCAGGTGAATTTAGCTTTGCATTTAAATACTTTGCTTCTTTAAGGGCACTAAGCTTCCCAAGGTAGTGGCTGATCCTCCAAGATGTTCTTTGGTTGTAGCCATGTGCACAACCCCAAGGAGTCCACAGGTTGGAGATGGGGGAAAACAAGGCATCTTCCTCATATTAATATGACTGGGAAGCACAAATCTAATGCTGTTCTGCTGCTACATTGCATAGACATACTTAGACGAAATTGCTGAGACTCACTTCTCAAGAGAAAGCTCAATTTGATCATTTCTTTACACCCTGACTGCAAATCAAAAGTGATGGATAGATTTTGATGACGCAGATGCTGGGTTACTGCTTAGCCCATTCTATCAATTGATAGTCGTGTGTATATATTCTGTTTGGAAAAAAAGATATTTCTTCTTCATTTTGCCTACAATTATTCACTGCATACTTTGATATGGCAGTATTTAATTGATTCATGATTTTTTTGAAATGTAACCAGTATGCTGATAAACTGGGCTTTTTTGGATGTGGCAGCAAAAAACCCCCAGAGGAATGCATTCAGATTAGAAATAAGGTATTTTTAGCATTTACATTAGTCATAGGATAAACACCATAATGGATTTGGTGGATTCTCTCTGCTACCTGAAATATTTAAACCACAGCTGGATGTTGTTTGGGTGATATGTTATAAGCAAACATTGTTAGATTGCCTTCACACAGATTTTAGCATTTGACCTATAAAGTACACAAGATTAAATTATATAACCAAAGTATTTTCTGAGTTTGAGTTCTATAAATCTATTATATTGTTTGTTTCTGCATTATATTCACTAACTACTGAAGCAAGATGAAATTAACTTCAGTCTGCATGTGATTTTTCAAGCACCAATCCAATAAAGAAATATTTTTAATTGATGCCTGACTGCCTGAAAAAACAAACCATCAGCTTTTTACTCTTATTCTTTGCAAAGTCCCAGGCTGCCAAGTTTCTTGATATCCTATCCCCTGGTGTGACTGGCCAGGTTTGTTTGTTTGGTTATTGCCCTTGTTAATGATCTTTGACCAGGTTTTTCTGTGTCTCTGTGTTTGTCTCACTCCCTTTTCTGAAAAGCTGGAAAAATCTAACTATGATCTGTGCCCATCTGTTGAAGCACAGCATGTTTTGGAGCTCCCTGAATTGTTTTCCACCATCAGGAACTTTTCTTGAAAACACATGGGCACGTTCAAGTCTCTTCTTAGTATTATTTCATGTACCTTACAAGATCTTAAGATGAATATCCAAGAAATTACTGAATTCCTGCCATGCTGTATGTGGATAAGAGAATCCACAATATCTCCCCTCAGATGCATAAGTGTACCTTTTGTTGTTCCAAAGAGAATTGAGCACTCCTCTCCAGATGCCGTGGTGCTGGAGTGTGTCCATGGGCATGTGCCTCTGGGTGCTGGCTGCCTGAACTACAGAAATGTGCAGCACTCACGAGCATCCCTCCAGCTTCAGGGGGCATCTTATCGTGGCTTGTGGTTAAGGACAGCAGTTAAGAATTCATGAAAGTTCTCAATCCAAACACACTTTTTTTTTTTTTTTGAGGTTTTTCTGAGGCCAGAACTCCTTTCTTCTCTGTGATTAAGGGGTTCTTAATGTACCATGGACCCTGAATGAGCGTGCTACAGACCTTTCTCTTCTGCATACTGCATTTTTTCAATAAACACTCAAATCTTTGATATGGCACTAACTCAGCCTACTGCATCACTGAATGTTATCAAATATAATGAACACAAGCCACACTCCCTCCTTGTATGGCGTTGTCATTTTAATGTGCTTAGTCCTCTTTATTCCTGCTGTGGTTACGGCTAAATGGCATGAAAATTACTCTCAAGATGAAATTAAAATGACCCACCAGAGTCTGCGTCTCTGTTTTAATGTGACTTTATTTGCCCTTGCAGCCCTTCCCTCTACATCCTTCAAGCTGGCTCCTCATTTTCACAGGCACTATTTTCCCCCAGCAATCAGATAATTTCAGTGTCATTGTACTGGTTTTCTTTCCTCTTCTCTTCCCCTTTTTTTTTTCTCCTCTCACAAAACAACAGATTCATTGGGGTAAAGTAAGAATTCTGATTATCACCACGTATGTATGAGTAACACTTAGTAGACTAATTTCCCTATTAGAAGTAGTACTGAAAGTAATTCTTATTTTCTATTTAAAACATGGGAAGCAAGAATACTTTAAAATGGTAATAAATGCATGCTTCCCTTTTTGTACTGCTTAAGCATCCCTTCAAATCTTTCTTCAGATGTCTTCAAACTAATTACAGTTGACTTTGTCTCTTCTTAAAAACCACAATGCAGATTGTTCACTGTGAAGGTAGTTTTGTATCAATCACTGAAGCTTATTTATGGGCTTGTGACTGTACTTTAGCTGGCTGGACTCGCAATGCAAACCACAGAAAAATAAGTGAGGATCAATAAAATCAGTCAGCCTACCCATTATGCAGAATAGGAAACAATCAGGCTGAAATCCCAGGAGAACTTTTTAGGCATCAAGCAGGATAGGTGGTTCCTGAGGCACTTGGTCGCCCCTCTGCTTTCATGTTTGTGTTCTGATTTGTATTCCCTAATGACAGCAGGCAGCAAATCTGAACGCTCATCTCTGCCCACAGCCCTTGTGAGGGACCACAAAGCCATCCTGAGCCTTTGTACTTCAGAGTGAACAGTGTTCTCTTTATTTGGGTGACTCAATAACCATGGCAACATTTTGTCTGCTCTGGCTCTGACAAGCCCATCCAATTTACTCCAGAGTTGGTGTTATCATTTCCTCACCTATAGCAAGGGAGTTATGGCTGAACCCAGCCCCTCACACACTTGGGATTCACACTGAGACCAGTGCCTGGTTTTCCTCACATGCCATTTCCAGCTGCATAGCCAGCACAGCTCGTGCCAAGCTCCCCTGCTAAGCCAGGCCTGCCTGGGTCTGTCTTGTGGGTATTGCTGTCTGTCCCTACAGCTGGGCTGGTTTTGTTCAATTGTTTTTTTTCTCTGTGATAATAACATCAACGTTAGCAGCGAGCAGGAAAGAACCATTATTTCTGAATTCAGGCAGTGACTGAAAGCGGCTCTTAGGAGCAGCACTGCAGCTAAATCCCTCCAAAATCAGTGGGTACCTGGTGATTAAATACCTTTGACAGTGGGATAATCAGTGCATTGATGAGGCAATTGCAAAACTGAGTCCACCTAGCAACTCAATTGGGCAGGTGAGTAGGGGAGTGCAGAGCGAAATAAGACACCACACAAACAGTTTGGGCATTTCCAAAGTACAAAGTGTGCACCATGGCTTTGCACATCTGTCACTGGTGGCTGCTACCTGGCTGCAGAAGCAATTGCTTAGCAGCTCCATGCCTTTCATTAACCCCTCCAGGCCATCAGATGTATGACACAATTAACAATTTCTACATTTTTTCAGTTTCAATTTTATTAATCCATACTTCTTCCTATCCTCAGCTGACTACTGGAGAGTCTGAGCCAAATACTCATGCTAGAGGGTTATCAACAGCAGAAGATGGAAACCTTCTTTAATTGTTGTGGAATTGTACTTATTAGAGCATCCTGGTGTAATGGTATTTTCAGCAATTTAAGAAGTACAAATATTTATCACAACTTTGTTTTTTAAAATATACAGCAGTTCCATTGCAGTAATTTTCCCTTTGCAAGGCTGCCATTCTGCTCCTTTGTATGATGGCCTCGATGGCAGGAGAGTTCTCAAGGGTGAGATAAAATAAAACACTGCTCAAAATAAAAAGGGTGAGATAAAAATAAAGGGTGAGATAAAATAAAACACTGCTCAGATGGGACTCCAGTCAAGAGTGCATGGTAAGAAAGCTCTATCAGCAAGCTGCTTCCTAGCTGAAGTTGCTGTAGACATGTTACAACCAACACACTGCCTTGTAATGAACTTCCTTGCTCTGCTTCCGCACCCTCAGAAATCTGTGGTGGCTGTGAGCTGAAAACAGTCTTCTGCACTCACATGTTACATGTAAACAAACCAAAGTGTTTCTGAAAACACCGATTGCCATGGCTGCTGTTGAAAATTCTTATCTTAGAAAAAGCAAGTTGCAAACAAAACAGACCATGGTTGTTTACAAACAGTGAGCAAGTACTTCCAGCAAGCTTGCAAATCTGCAGGACTTGGGCAATGCCATAAAAATGATCTGAAGTGCCCAGAAGTCCTTTATAAATACGATAAGCTTTCTAAATGCTTTTTGAGCCACTGGAAATCAGTATGTCTCACATCCACCCAGATTTAGCATAGTGAATAGCAAAGTCAAGAACAGCGGCAACTAAAACAAAACCCTAAAATGACAGACTTGTTTAGATAAAGATATCCTCAGCTCTGATGTCTCTGAACTCCCTGCAGCAGCCCTGCGCCTCGCAGTGGCAGCGGCCGCGCGGGGACAGCGGGCAGGCGGCAGCAGCGCCGCGCGGTGCCGCTGGGCACGCCGCGGGGGCGCGGCCGAGCCCCCTGCCGCTCTGCGCGCCGCAGCTCAGCCCGGACCCCTTCGGCCTCGTCGTGTGCCGCCAGCGCGGCGGCAGAGTCCTGTGAGTGCCCCTGTGCCCCCTCGCCTCCCGAGGGATTCGGGCTGGAAACGTGCACAGCCCCACAGTGCCGGGATGGGTGCAGGGACACTGCTGTTCATCCGGGACACTGGTGACAGCAGTGGGGGGGCTGTCGGGGCTTTACTTTGATTTCCTCTGCAGTTCAGTGGCTGGGCAGGGAACCAGGAATCCCAGAGCTCAGCCGAAACCTGTTTTTATTTCCGGTGGTGATGAGCACCCATGTCCCTGCCCAGCACCAGTGGCCCCAGCTCAGTGCCTCCCTCCCAGCTGTTGGCCGAACCTCCCTTTCCGTCCGCAGGCTGAACACTAGGGTCGCATCCGTATTCTTCACAGACCAGTTCCTGCACATCTCCACCTCCCTGCCCTCCCATTTCATCTCGGGGCTGGGGGAGCACCTGACACCACTGTTCCTTGACACAGCATGGACCAGGGTCACCCTCTGGAAGTGGGACATGGCACCCACAGTACAGAGTGGGGCTGAGGGAAAAGGAGACAGATGCAGCTGTGCTCCTGGAGGTGGCCCTGAGGTCTCTCCTGGGGATGGGGAGATGTGTCAGCTGGTTCATCTCTGGGCCTCGACTGTAACACTGGACAAACCCATGGGACCTTTGTCCCAGGCCCAGGTTTGTCACCCCAGAGCTCTGTGCTGCCTGGGGGCTGTTTGCAGGGCTCTGGCTCAGGGCAGGGCTCGGCTGCCTTGACAGTTTGGGAGCACAGCCCTGGGTTTGCACCTGAAGCCAGTGCTCCTGACCAGAGGTGGGGGGCAGTCAGGTGGGAGTGGGGGTCTCCAGCAGAGCCTCACTGGCACCACACCGAGATCTACTCCAGCCCCACATCAATCTCTACGGCTCCCACCCTTTCTACCAGGTGATGGAGGACGATGGTTCAGCCCACGGTGTCTTTCTGCTGAACAGCAATGTGATGGGTCCCGTGGGGGCCTGTCCCTGTCCCGGTCCTCAGCTTCCTCCCCTGGAACTTGTGCTTCCCCATACGTGCTCCTGCAGCCCTGCCTGGCCCTGACCTGGCACACAACAGGGGAGATCCTGGACTTCTACATCTTCCTGGGCCCTGACCCCAAGAGTGTGGTGTGGCAGTACCTGGATGTGATTAGATCAGGATTGATATCCTGAGCCACAGCCGGGATGCTGTGAGCCATGTGGCACAGCAGGGCTCTGGGGTGGCACAAGGCTGGGCCATCCCTGCCAACACCCACCCTCCGCCCTCCAGGGTTCCCCTTCATGCCCCCATACTGGGGCCTGGACTTCCACCTGTGCTGCTGGGGCTACTCCTCCACCGACATCACCCG